CGGAAGTAGTTCGTCACTCCTTCTTCCTAGTCTGTCTTCTTCTGGAAGCTTATCTGAAACCTGTCCACCATGGGTGACCCTGCTGGTATTTAAAATACCAGTGGCATAGCTTTCAGAATCACAGCAACTCACAAGCCACCACAGTATGACAAACTGACAGATGAGTGGTGGCAAGCCTTTGCATAGTCAATAATATATAAGTAAATATCTTCCTGGTATTTTCAGCCATCAGCTGAAGTCCATCTCCCATCAGCTGTGAGATCCCTCATTCCACATTCTCTTTAGCATATTGTATTTGCATAATGATGTTCAGTGATTTCCATATTTCATTGGGTCACCTCTTTTTGGAATGGGCAAAAATATGGATCTCTTCCAATTGGTTGGCCAGGTAGCTGTCTTCCAAATCTCTTGGCCTAGATGAGTGAGCGCCTCCAGTGCTGCATCAGCTTGTTGAAAGATTTCCAGTTGTATTCCATCTTTTCCTGGAGCTTTTTCGCCACTGCCTTCAGTACAGCTTGGACTTTCCCTCAGTATCATCATCTTGATCATACGTTAGTTTTTGAAAGGGTTAAACATGGACCAGTTCCTTTTGGTTCATGAACTCTGTGTATTCCTTCCATTTTCCTTGGATGCTTCTTGCATCATTTAATGTTTTGCCCATGTTATTGGTAAATGCCATTGAGCCAGTTACAACTCATAGCGACCTGTCCTGGGTTTCCAAGGATTTGCTGGTGATTTTGAACTGCCAACCTTGCAATCATAGTCCAGCGTTTATCCTACAGTGCTACACCAGTATTCCTATTGTGCCCATGTTATTGTTAAGTGCTGTTGAGTCGGTTCTGACCCATAGCGACCCTGTGTAGGGTTTCCGAGGAGCAGCTGGTGAGCTTGAACTGCCAACCTTGCAGTTCAAACGGCTTTGCAGTCTGGCGCATGAACCTACAGCGCCACCCCAGGCCTCCATTCTGCCCACAGAATCCTTCAATATTGTAATTGGAGGCTTGCCTTTTTTTCTTCAGTTCTTTAAGCTTGAGAAATGCTGACTTTCTTTTTCCCTTTTGATTTTTCTAATCCCAGGTCTTTGCACATGTCAGTACAATACTTGGCTTTGTCTGCTTGAACAACCTCTGGAAACTTCTGTTCACCTGGGTGACTTCCTCATTTCTTCCATTTGCTTTAGCTTCTCTATGCTCAAGAACAAGTTTCAGATTTTCTTCTGACACCCGTTTTGATCTTTTCTTTCTTTCTTGTCCTTCCAATGACCTTTTGCTTTTTCCTTGTATGATGTCACTCCACAGTTCCTCTCATCTTCAGTCACTAGTGCCTGGTGTGTCAAATCTGTTCTTAAGATGGTGTCTAAATTCAGGCAGGAGATATTCAAGGAAGTTGGGCTCTTGTGGACGTGTCTTAATGTTCTTCCGCTTCAACCAGAACTTGAATAAGAGCAGTTGATGGTGTTTTTCGCAGTCTGTCCCTGGCCTTGTTTTCACTGCTGGTACTGAACTTCTCCAAGGAGCCCTGGGAGCGTGGTGGATAACAGCTGGGCTGCTAACCGCAAGATCTACCCATCACGAAAGAAAGAGGAGGCTTTCTGTTCCTGTAAAGATTTATAGCCTCAGAAACCCTATAAAGAATCGTTAGGAGTTGGAACCAACTTGTTGGCATATCACCACCACCAACACCATTGAACCTCACCAACGGGGTCTCGTTCCACAATGCCCGTGTATTCTGTCTGGTGAGGTTCACGTGTATAGTCACTGTTTCTTCTCTCTTTTATTGAATGTTTTTAGAAAATTCTATCATATAATCTCCAGCATGGGTTTTATCACTAAGGCCTTATCCTTCCTCTGCTTCCAACGTTCACATTCCAATCACCAGTTACTATCATTACATCACGGTTGCATGTGTGATCAATTTCACACTGAAGACATTGGTAGAATTGTTTGAATAACAGTCTTATCACCTGGTCTTCCTTATAGGTATGTGGATAGTTTCGTCTCACAGACAGCGCCGCACTTCAAGAGAGATCTTGAAAGGCTCTGTGTGGTGATGGATGTGATGGCATTCCTCCTCAGTTTGTCATTCCCAGCATGTAGCCGTGGAATTGTCTGATTCAGAGTGGCCAGTATGAGTCCATTTCAGCACACTAGTGCCTAGCTTAGTAAGTGTTATGCACTCCACTTCCTTTGGGTGAATTCCATTTTCCTAGATTCATACATTGTATATTCCACACTCCGATTATTAGTGGATGTTTGCAACTGACGGGCTCATCTTTCAGCACTGTATCAGACAGTGTTCTGCGGCTGTTTACACGGTGTTCAGTGCAAAACCACTCAGCAGCGGTCTACCTGTCCTTCTTCTTAGTGTGTCTTAGACTGGGTGCTCTGCTGAAACCTGCCCACCATACGTAGCCCTGTTGTTGTTAAGTGCTGTCGTGTCAGTTCCAATTCCTAGCGACCCTGTATTGGGTTTCTGAGGAGCAGCTGGTGGGTTTGAACCATTGACCTCGCCGCTCAAAGTGACCTTTTGGTCCAGTGCATTATTATCCTGCAGAGCCACAACAGGACTCATATTTAAAATACCGGTGGTATCGTTTCCAACATCACAGCACCACACAAGCCACCACAGTATGACAAACTGACAGAGGAGTGGGGTGTGTAGACCTAGACGGAAGATACGCTGAAAAGAATGCTTCCCATTTTGATAGTTTTGTTTGATTTTGTGGCGGTGTGTGCCAACTTACCCTCTTGTAGCAGCATTCACACCTGAAGCAATGATGAATCTGGGCAGTCGGTCCCACTTGCCCTATGCTGCCATAGATATAAGAGATGGCACAGCCATTACAGTGTGGAACTATGGGTAAGCTTCTACTTGCAGTAAAATCAGCTGCTCTTTGTGATGGAGAGATAAGTACCTACATGATGATCAGACTCAGGGGCCCCGCTCTTTGTCCAGGTGGTTTTCTGAACCCCCTTCTTTCCGATGTTTACATTTTCAGTGTGTACATTACACAGAACTGACGTCTCTTTCTCCTTCTGTGCTCATTTGGCGTGTTAGCGTCTCTTTGGTTTGAGATCTGGCCAGTTGTGATCCTTTTCTCTGCACTCCCTGCTTCGCTCTTCCCCACTGTCTGCACACCATGGAGTTGGGCTTCTGCCTGCATTTACGCATCTTTTCTGTTTTCTCATTTCCCCACCTCCCGTCATGCACCTCTCCTCACAGCTGTTGTTCCAGAGAGGCAGCGAGTACAGCCTGGCTGTAAGTACTGGCTCCACAATGTGGCTGTCTGTCGCTCACTGTCCCTCTGTGGTGTCCCCTTACGACCCGGTGTTGCTTAAAGTCTGTGGAAAAGCCTGAGACTCAGTGTGAGCCGTCTTTCCTGAGCACACACCACATCGCCCTCTCTGGGCCACAAACCAGGCAAACCACTTCCCTGCACAGTTGCAATGTGGAACTCCCGAGGCCACTTGCATTTTACGGCATAGGGGTTCTTACTCATTGGACCCTACAAGTGATTGTGATGAAGAGCCACGGCTTTAAGCCCTGACCAGATTCCCTTTGGCTTGTCCAGGGCTGCTCTGCCTGCTTGCTCAAGGGCGCAGTGAGAGAGACAAGGCCTGGCTTCCAGCTCCCACACAGTGAGATGACCGCTAGTCTCCCGTCTCCACTGTGACAGGCTGGTGACAGCCCTTCCCTCAGAACTCCTGGGCCTGTGCTCCCACAAGGACCTGTTCATCACTGGGGTTGACACTGTCGTCCTCGGGGAATCGGACCACGCACATGCTGACTTCTCCTTCACTCGGAGCCTGGCAGCGTGCTCCTTAACCTGGTGTGTTCCAACGCACTTCCTGATGGCTTCCCGCTCACAGCACAACTGCCCTGGTGCCCTGGCCTCAGTGTGCCCCCATGCACCCCAAATGTGCGCCCGCTGGTCTGTGGGCTCTCACACGGACCCTCTGACCTGGACCTCCCCTAAGCACAGTGTTGCTTGTACCCAAGGCTGGCTCAATAAGCCCATCTACCTAGGTGATGTATAAAAACCCCGGTGTGGTGCTGTGGGATAAGCACTGGAAACCCTACACAGGGTCACTGTGAGTTGGACCTGACTGGATGACACTTAGCAACAGTGACGAATTAACACCAACTCGTGGTGAGCGCACGTGTGTCACAGTAGAGCTGTGCTCAACAAAGTTTCCAGTGGCTGAGTTTTCAGATCACCAGGCTTTTCTTCCGAGGTGCCTCTGGGTGGACTCGAACCTGTGACCACTCAGTTGATTATAAGCGATGATAGATCTTTTTAGCTCACAAAGGGCTGCTTCTCTCTGCCTGAACTTTCACTCGGTCTTGGGAACAACCCCGTGCAGCTGATAGTCTGTCTGGGCAGCGGCTGCCGGGACAGTCGACAAAAGGTCACAGCTGTTTGCTCAGCACTCAGCCCCGAGCCCCCTTGGTTCCTGGGACCCTCGAGATTCCCACTGCCTTTGTCGATGCTGCCTGTCAACTTCTGTGTCTGTTCAGAGAGGAGACTAGTAAAGGGGGCTCCTTGTCCTTCAGCCTGGGGAAGTGGACAAAGAGGACCACTCGGAAGAAGGACCTCACCGGGCCCCCCAGATGGTGGGCAGGAGGCCCCTGCGGGATTTCGTGGGACTGGAGGACTGTGACCGGCCCACGCGGGACGCCATGCTCAACTTCAGCATCTTTGTCGCCATCGGAGACATGGACGAAGCCTTCAAGTCAATCAAACTCATCAAGAGGTAAGGCGCCAATCGAAGCAATGCTGGCATGCCCTGAGCTGCTTCCCCCCCTAGGCCTCTCGCCGCTTTCTGAGTCCGATTCTGCGACTGTGTGTCTACGTGGTGGGGGGGGGGCGGGGCGGGGGCAGTGGGGCAATGGCAGGCCACAGCACCTGGATCCTCCAGACTGTCTCATTTCTTATCTTGACATGTTTGGGACACTTTCTGGTGGAAAGTGCCCAGCTTGCTAAATGTGAGTACCGCCCATCCTCTCAGAGACTAGTGTCCACACTGCAGGAAGGCCTCCAGAAACAAACAGGGCAAACGGCCCCTAAAGGCCTCGTGTGTCCAAGGGCTGTCCGAGAGCCCTCTGCCCCTGTCCCATCCCAGGAGAAGGAATACAGAAGTTATTCCTGCAGCCACCCGCACATTTTCACTTTCAAAGACTGAAGCTAAAAAGTGGGGTGGCGGGGAGATGAATCATCCAGTTACCCGACCCGTTCACCCTGTCATCTCGCAGGGATGGCTTCTGTTACACAGAACACACTGCCCTGGAGTTGGTTCCGACTCAGTGAGTCTGTAGGACAGAGTGGGACTGCCCCCCGTGGGGTTTTGAGACTGTAAACCTTTATGGAGTTAGCCCACCCCATCTGACCTTTACCTTGTCACCGTGTGCTGGGTGTGTGGGAGGTGGCCCGTTGACACTCACAGCTCCACGGGAAAGGCCCGAGGCCTAACTGCTAGAGGGGACTGCAGTCCCCCAGCTTTGAGGGTGGTGGTGGGCCAAGGACCTAGGGGTGCCCCATCAACTTAGAGCACTCTGCTTGAACCCCCTCAGAGCTGTTTAGGGTACCTGGGCTGCTAGGGAAAGTATCGGGGAAGGAAGGTCTGGAGACGTCCTCCCAGAAGGTCACAGCCCTGGAGGCCTTAGGCGGTTCCACTCTTCATGCGTGGGATTGCCTCCACACCTACTGACCAACTAGCTGTTGTTACAAAGAGCTTGAGTTGGGTGACCGGGTGCTATAGACATGCCGGGCTACTAACAGAAAGGTGGAGGTCGGATACCATCCAGAAGTGCCTCGGGGAAAAAACCCTGGCAACGCTCTTCCACAAATCCTCAGTCTTTGAAAACTCCATGGAGCTCTGTTCTGCCGTGATACACACAGGGCTGCCATGAATTGGGGTTTGTAAGCTTCTGAGACAGGGCTGGTCAGAGTGGGTTGGAGGTACGAAGACATTTTGTGACCACAGGGAATGAGGTTGGGGGCGCCGGGATTCTTCCAGGGAGCCCACCTCTCTGGGGTTTTTAATTTTAAAAACCTAGAGGTTTGATCCAAACTTTCTCTGCTAGCTGCCGACTGTCTCCAAGTGTGGGAGTGTCTATTGGGGTGGGGCTGCGGGAAGAGGGACTCCTGAGCTCTGGTCACTGTGGGCAGGAACCAGGGTGTGAGCCACCCCACGAGTTCCACCTGGCCTCACCAGGTAACTCTTGTCTTACTCGCATTTTGCAAAGACAAGCACACAGACCCGTCCCTCTCACCGACCCTCATGGTGACCAGACAGACAAGTCACATGCTCTTAAAGACAGTAGCAGGAGATCTGCTTTAATCTAACACAAGGGCGGTCCTGCCAGAGACCACAGCCCTGGGGCGGCCAGTTCTGACCCAGCTGGGGAGCTTTTCCTTGGGCACCCCAGTCCACCCATGTCCCACCTGCCGTGCAGAATAAATTAAGCCCACCTCACCTGTTGCCCGCATACTCGGGTGGGGACGCAGCAGCAGCATAGGGAGCATGTGCACACATACACACACACCTCCCTGTACACGCCTACATACGTCACAGTGCACGCACCGAGTACTGGACACACGTGTGTACACACCTGGCCCTCAGCTGCCCACACATGTCCACAGCAGCACAGGTGGTCCCATGCCCCTGCAGTGTCCCCAGAGGGCGTTCAGCAGGGGGACTCCACATAGTCATTGTCCAGACCTCGGCGGAAACGGGCTGTGAGTGAGCGTCGGATGACAATGACCCGGGGTGCCATGCAGTCCTCCCTGCGGTGCAGAATGTCCCAGATGAGGACGGCAGCTGCCAGGGTAGCCAGGAGGCAGGCGCCGATGTTCAGGTAGCATGACCACGACAGGCTGGTGTAGGAGCCGATCCTGTAGAAGGTCACCAGACCGATGACCAGCACAAAGCCTGGAGCAGGGGAAGAGGGCTGGTCAGAGATGGGGACAGTCCCCTGAGACCAGCGGTCTTGGCCTGTGGAGGCAGTGGAGGGGACGTCTGTGTCTCATTAGGGGGCTTGTTCTGTGGGAATTGCTGGCATTCCCCCACCCCCACCCCCACCTGGAAGCCACATCCCACCCTTGATAATGTGACCAACTGTGACCTCTCGGGGCGGGATCAAGCAGACAGTTCTCCATCCTAGTGTGTTTAGCGTAGTCCAGGGGCCTCCTCACTGGGCAGTGTGCTTATCCCTAGTCCTTGTAGGGGATATGAATATTTTCTCTGGAAACTCCAGACAGCCCGCTTTAGCAAGCCCAGGGAGGGAGGGGGCACCACAGTGCAGGGGGTCCCAAGCAGCCGAGGACACAGGCTGTGATCGCCAGCACACACAGGACCCAGCTCGGCTGCACTGCGGGGACGATGACACAGGGGAAGCAGGCAGGAAGGAAGCGAGTGGACGCCGCGTCTCTGGGCAGCACCGCCGTCCTCGCCGATCGCAGGAAGGAGCTGTTTGCTTTGGAAACGGGAGACTCTGAGCTGGGACCCAGGCCTGGCGTAGCTCTCCCCAGGCCTCTGTGCCACGGCTTTCCAGAAAGGGCCCAAAGTGGCTCATCCTCAAAGTCCACAGTCAAGTAGGGGGCAGCACGGGGTCAGAAGTCAGGAGATAGTGCCCGACACACACACCTCCTCAGACAGGAGAAGGTCCCTGAGACACACACACCCTCAGGTTAGGTGACTGATCTGCCTGACCTCCTGCGTCCCAGGGATCCTCTGAACCCTGTGGTCCTGGCTGTCACAGTGCAGGCTGGACCACATCCTTACCCTGACCAACTCGCACGCCGGGCCCTCCTGGGACAGAGGCCAGCCTCTCTGAGCCTGTCAGATGACACTGTCCTGTGAAGGCCCAATGTGAGTCCCTTGTGGCACTGACTGACCCTCAGATCATCCCACCTGGAAGTTCTGTCCTGGCCCGGGGGGGTTGGGGAGCAGTGGGGAGGCTCTCAGCATTCAGGGCTGCACAGCCCATACTCTGGGGTGCAGCTGTGAGGCAGTGGAGTTACAGCATAGGTCCTCGGGATCTGCATCAAGCCAGCCCGGAGTCCCTGTCCTGGGCCTTTTCCCATGGTTCCTCAGTACTTGCTGGCCTCTGCATCAAGAGGCCCATTCCTTCCGGGTAGAGAGGAGGGAGCCCCAGGGACAATCTCATCTCCACACACACACACACACCTGCCCTTACAGCTTCAGCTTCCCCCACAGCCTGGGCTCAGGTGCTCCAGCGGGTACAGCCCCCTAGATTCTCCCTGCTGTCCCCAAGGGCAAGGGCCCAGAGGCCTGGCATCAGCCCACCCTGCTCCTGAGCTTAACCAACGGGAGGGGACAAGGCCGAGGACATCTCCCAGCCCCTCAACCCACTCCTCCCGATCCCTTGCTGTCATCCTTAGGGGAGCTAGGTGCTGTTAGACCTGGGTCCCGAACAAGAGCAGGAACTCATACTGAGTGCCAGCTGAGGGATGGGCTGATGAGACTCGTCATGGTGGGCAGGCTAATTGACCCACAAAGAGGCCTCATGTATGCAGTGACTAAGTGGCTTAGGGATGATGCCAGGGCCATAGGCTCACTGGTGGAACCCTAGCCTTCGAGTGGGCGCAGCTGGCAATTGAGGAAGCCAGGCCACCTCCTCAACCCAGGACCCTCAGAGCCCCCCCGGGGACTCCAGCATGCCTGTCCCTTCCTCTCCCCATGAATACGCTCCTGTATCACCCCAGTGTGGGCACAGGGCATAGCCGGCCGGCACCACAGGTAGCAGCCGCGTCTCCTCGCCCTGGACAGGATATCCTGGCGCCCCGCAGTCTTTCCCGCCTGTTTAGACAGGACGGTTCAGGAAAGAACCTCGCTCTAAAATTAGCCCCGGAGAAGAAAGGCACAGTGCCACCCCCGGGACTGTTTGTCAACTGAGCGCGTCTAAATAGGGCCAAGAGCTTCCTCCGGGGATGTTGGCCAGGCCACCGAGGGCAGGGCGTCGGGAGTGGCCTACCTGCCCAGCACTGCCTGAACAGAGCCTGGTCTCACCCTTCAGGGGTTGTATGACCTCGGACCGCGGAGGACAGGCCCCAGAAATTGGGGCCGTACCCCATCTTCCTGGCCAGTGGGTCTCTCCCTTAGTTCTTCCAAAATGCATGCGTGTTGGTAAGAGCAGTCTTGTTCTGAAATGGAGGTCTGCAAGAGACAGGCTTTTGCTGAGATACATCCAGGGCCCTGGTGTCAGGAGGATCCCGAGGAGGTTTCTAATGCCCACAATGGAGCTGTTGTGATCAGAGCCCAGCTCTCTTGTCTGCACTGACATGCCTCTACCTGCGGGGGCGCTATGGGCACAGCGGCCGAGTGTCTCAGCTAAGCCTGCTGCCCCCCTTGCCAGACGTCTGTCTTCACCCTGGTCACGTGGAGGGCACAGGCCCACAGGGACCCTACAGGGACCCCCTAACCACCCTGAGTGGGGATCTGCTGGGTTTGCATTTGGGTAAACCAAGGCGCAAGCTGGCTCGGGAATTGGCCACCAGTGTCAGGACAAAATGGCATCCCAGTGCTTTCTGGGAAACGTGGCTGGAGTGCTGCGGAGCTCACGGGTGGGGACAGTGACCCCAGAGTCCACTCTGTCCTCGTTGTAGTGCCAGAGCGCTACCCTGGCCCCACCCCCTGTCAACTCGCCCTGGACGCCATTCTTAGGGTCCGTTGGCCGGAAGTCCACTGTTCCTAGAATGTCAGCAGCTTCTCTCCCCTCAGGGTGTTGGGTCCACACCTCCAGTCCTGTGTCCCCATGCATTGTGGCCTTGAGGTGTGTGTGCAGCTGCCCAGGGGGTCAGTGAGCACTCACCTGTGTGCAGGTGGCCTCCCATTAGCAAACCAGGAGACCCACCTGCCAGAGATCCACAGGCCAGAGAGGGTCATCCCACAGCCAGGACCCTAAACTACCTCCCTGTGTATCACCCCCCCTCGCCCACAGTGCAAGAGTCCCCCTCCACTGCCATGTGGCTGCCCCCATGTGACCCCAGAGCAGAAGCTGGGTGGGGTCTGCAGTCCCTCCCTGGGCCTTCTGAGGGGTACACACCACCCTGGTACTCACTTGCCAGCTGGAACGCAGCGGCAGTGGCCTCCTCCCAGCATGGGGGTAGCCCGGCCAGGCCCAGCACGAAGGTGAGCTGGCCCACTGCCAGGGCCGCTGAGGCCACCAGGTTACAGGCGCGCATCATGTCAAACTGCACTGCAGGGGCAGGGGGGAGAGAGGCAGGTCAGCTGGGTTCACACACACACACACACAGGGGAGAGGGGGCCGAATCCACATCCAGGCCCCACAGAGACACCTGGCAGTGCTCTCTTCATCTCAGGGAAGCACCTGATGTGCTTTCTGGGCCGGTGTCGGGCCCCTGCCCTCACAGGAATGCGGAGCCAGGCTCACGAGAATGGTCAGGCCCCTGTTCTCTGGGCTCTTCAGCCCACCTGGGAACACATGTGTCATCCCCCCTGAGAGGATGATCCTGCAGACAGTGACTTGTCCTAGGTCATATTCACCGTCACTTTGGGCTAGAACCCAACGCAGCCGTGGTCTGCTGTATCAAGCAACCCACAGTCCTGCCCAACACCCTGCTCCATCCGCAACAGAGCCAGGTCACCTCCGCCTCGGGTCATCCTCTACTCTGCGCCCCTAGCGAGTCTGGAAGGGCGCACAGGAGTGTCATGGACAGACCACAAGGTGGGTGTTGCCAGCAGGAAGCAGTGCGAGACAAGGAGCTTCCTCCCCTTAAGAGAGAGCTGAGCCATGCCCCAGCTTAGCGGAGGTAATAGCTCTCCATACCAGTGTACTCTGATAGCGCATTCTTACTGTTTACTCTGGAGGTTCCAATATAGACCATGAGGCTATCGAGCACAGAGCCCAGACAGTGGCATACACGGGGAGGGCCACCAGCCTTGTGACCCATGCTTTGAGATTGTGTCCCTAGTATATGTGGGACGAACACCATGCCGAGCCACACTGGCTGTTCCCAGTGGTATGGACACGCTGAGGTTTCTGGCCCCCACCATGGATATATGTGTGTGGTACCTCAGGTGGGGACTCAGGACGGAACACTGCCGACCCCGAGGTGTGCTAAGCGCAGGGTCAATTTCTGAACTCAGTTAGACATGGGGCAGGTGTGGGGCCAAGCCTGGTGGATGGGACCTTCTGTTCCTCAGGAAGTGCTATCTCAGGCCCACTTGGTCCACACCGCAGTGAGTCACAGGAACTCGGGGCATCCTGTGAGTGACCAGCACCGCCTGGTCAGCCTCATTCACAAGAAGCCCCATTGGCATTTTCTGCTGTTTTGAACAGAGTCCACGGGACCACTCGTGTGCCTTGGGCTCTTGATGGAGGCATTTTTGAATATACCACAGAGCTCATGTGCAGACTCAGGACAGGTGGTGGGGGCAGGTGAGGACAGATGGGGACAGGTGAAGGAGGTGAGTTCCCTGAGACACTGAAGAGGCAGCTGATACAATGGGCCCTCCAAAGGTGTGAAGTTGGGCCTGGGCTCTCGAGGGCTGTGATGTAGTCACAGGGCAGTCTCAGTCGGTGTCTTGGGAGTACCATGCGGAACGGGCGGGCAGATGGCGCCGCAGACACGGCATAGACTTGTGGGAGCCGAGCAGGTTCAGGACAAGAGTGGGCACAGCTAGTGAAGGAGAGTCTGTTCTCTTGGCTCGAGGTGTCAGAGACAGTGTCCCCCACCGTTCCAGGAGAGGCAGGTGTCCACCGTGGGCCGACAAACCCAGGGCAGAGTCGGGGACTGGGTGGGTGCCTTTCCCTGGATAGGGGGACTGCAGTAGCACATCTCACCCTGGCCCTCCCACTTTGTCCATCCTGGAGTCCAGCAGAGGCCTCTGAGCATGGACACGGGAGACATGTGCCTATTCTCCAGCACAGGGTTGGCTCCCTTAGTCAGGGGAGCCCAGTGTGGACCACTAGGTCGGTGTACCGGTTCCAGCTCATCATCCACTCCTCTGAAACCCTATACAGGGTCGCTATGGGTCGGAACCGACTCAACCGTACCTAACAACAATTCTCCAGCACAGGGGGGCTCCCTTAGGCAGGGGACCTGTGGTGGGCAGGTGGACCTTGCACCAGACTGCACCACTCTCCCTGTGACCTGTGACATCTTGGGGCCCCCTGGGCAGCCCAGCATTCACCACCCAGGCCCGGCTTGCCCTTCAGAGCAGTAAGGGGACCCCATGACTCGGCAGTCCTTAGGGAAGCTGGGGCGCTCCCCACCCCACACTTGGGGCCCCTCCCGTTGGTCTAAGTCTGGGCTCAGTCAGTGCGGCATGGGAACAACCAGTGTCCGAAACTTCCTGTTGGCTTTACTCCTTCTAATAGAGAACCAGCTGCTTTCCCTGAGTGATGGGGGGTCTTCCCCCAAAGAAGTCCTCCCTCTAGAGGATAGGAGGGGGTGGCGGTCTGCAGCTCAGCTCTCCCAGCCCCCCAGATGCCCCTCTGGCCTGCCCCCCACAGCCTTGAGCCCCCATGGACTTACATTTGACGGTGGCCCGAGCCTCCTGGAAGCCAGCTGCCTCCGAGCCCCAGCTCAGAGCCTGGCACTGGTGCTCCTCGGGCGGCCCGCTGCGTGTCCGGTCCGGCAGCCAGCAGGCCCTCCAGAGCCCCACACTGCGCTGACGCCCGTCCTCCAGCGTTTGGTGCACCCAATGAGGGGTGAAGGCCGCCGCGTTGTTGAGCACCAGAGACACAAGGGCCACCAGCACAGCCGAGGCCACCAGCTTCTGGACAGTCATGGCTGGTGGCCCCCCTGTCCACCGCTGTGCAGGAAACCCTAAGTCAGGCCGCCACTGGGTGCTGAGGGGACCGAGTGGTACGGGGTGGCTAGAGGACGTCCCCGCTCATTCTCAGGACCCTGCGGGGCTCAGCGGGGCCGCGATCACCCAGCTTCCTGCGCCTGGAGCAGGGCCAGGCCGGTGCGGGGTGCCCTCGCCGCCACGCAGCCCATCCCGAGGACACAGGCCGGTGGCAGGGCCCAGGGTCTCTTTCTATCTTGCTGGGACGCAGGAATCAGGGCGGGCAGTGGCTCTTGAGTCGGCTGCGGGTGGTAGGAAACAGAAAATAACTCAGGGGCCGGTGATGGGGGCGTCTGGTTGGGCCTGCACTCCCAGGCCGGCCTGCTCGTGGGGGTCCACGGAGAGCCGCTGGGACAGGGCAGGGTCCGAGAGGTGCGGGTCGCTTCGAGGAAGTGAGTGTGAGAGAGTGTGTGTGTGTGTGAGTGAGCGCGCGCTCACACGCTCTTCCCCTGTCTCTCTGGGCAGAGAGGAAATGCCTGTTTTTCAGGCTGTTTTTGGAGAGCCGAGGGCGAGGGCGTAGCCAACTGCACCAAGCAGCAGCCCCTCCGGCCAGACATCGACAGGATGTGCTTCCTGGGAGGAAGGGCCGGTGCCTCGGAGAGGCCACCCCGCCTCCCACCCCATGGGCTGTACACAAGGATCAGAACTCCAGCATGCTGGCTCCCAGGGCCCTGCAGGCGGGCCAGCGCTCCCGTGCACCGTCACTGGGGAGGGCTGTGTGGGGTAGCCAAGTCACTATCAGAACCTACCCGGAGTGGGGTGAGCAGGGTGGCTGCCCACAGCGTACTGTGGAGGGACACTGAGTGGCCTTCACCATACTTGGTCCTGAGGGGTGTTCTCCAGTTGACCCCTTGAGAGGTTTTCCCGGATTCAGAGATTCCCCCCCACCGAGCCTCCGGGTCTCTGGGTTAGCTTCTGTGGTCAGTGGTCTGCCCATGGCCTCGCAGGGCCCGGCCTCCTGGAGAAGCCAGTCTCCCTGGACTCCCTTAACATCTTGTGTCCATGTTGTAAAGTGCCGCCGAGTCAGTTCTGACCCATAGCGACCCCGTATAGGGTTTCTGAGGAACGCCTGGTGAGCTTGAACCACTGACTTTGTGGTGCAGACCAACTTTGCAGCCCAGCGCATTAACCGGCAGCACCACACCAGGACTCAGGGAGCACGAACACACACCGTCCCTAGACCCTGAAGGAGCCCCAGCTGGCCCCTTGGCTCACTTCTCTTAGGCCAGGCCAGGCCATGCTTCCTGCCCACCTACCTAGCACGCCATCTTAGCTGCAGCCCCCCAGAAGCCCCCTGCATCAACACCACCCCCCGACAGCCCCTGAGAACACTGTCCCAGGAGGGACCCCTTCTTAGTCATGACCCTGTCCTCAGGCAGGTCCACTGCCCCATGGAGCTGGGGGTGCATCTGCTGTTAGAGAGCAGGGGATACTGTGGAGCCAGGCCGCAGCGGATGGGTGCTGAGAGGGAGGACCCTCTAGTGCAGGCCGCCTTAACTGGGGGGGTGAGGGGGAGTGGCTCTCCGAGGGAGCCTAGGGGCCAAGAGCTCTATTCACAGGATGGATTCTTCCAGAAAGCCCCCTCCTGCATGCCTTCCCCCCACCCCACCCCCGGTCTGTGTCTCCTCAGACTTGATGAAGTGCAGATGTGAGTAACTGCACAGACGGGCCTGGGAAGAGGAAATGCCGGGGTGGAGGGGGAATCATCGCGCAACCATGTCTCGGTATTTGCGTGGGCGAGCAGGTCCCAGACTCCAGGGCCGGAGTCCAGTGCCCCTGGGCTTGGCCTCAAAGATCGCCGAGGGCCTCTAGGCCTCCCACCCTTTCTCTAGAATCTCCACTCAGTTTTGAGTCCAGGGGTGGAGGGACTGTCCACCCCTGTCTGCACCCCCTCCAGAGCAACGCCTGACCTTCCCCATGTGGTGACCTGAGTTCTGGGATGGTGGCAGCTGCTCATACCGCTTACGGGCATGCCCTGTGGTTGTGACCCCAGGGAGACACAGGACCACCCTGTTCCTGGGGGTGACTTGCACCACCCTGTCCCAGCGCTCTGCCTGCTGGAGGTGGGAGTCACATGTCTCTTGTTGACACTGGCTGTGACATTCATGACGGCTGGGCACAGAGTGTGGCTTCTCACTTGACACGCTGGACAAGCGAGTGGGAGGAAGACCCACTACAGACGTCCCTGACGGTGTCGGGTCACACTGAGTGCGGGTGTTGGGTGTGGCGGACGGAGGCCCCCCGAATTGGCCAGCAGAGTGGTGTCACCATGAGAGCAGCCATCGAGTGTCCCTGAATCACTGCTCTGTAAGGGTCACCCAGGGACACTGACCCCACAGTGCTGGGGAGGGTAGGAACCACGTCCCAGGGCCCTGGGCAGAGGTGGTAAAGTGTGTGACACACAAGTACACGGGCCATGCACACTGGTACGGGTACACACACACATGCTCGTGTACACAGGTACAGGTGCACTCATATACACATGCTTGTGCACACATGTGCATGCCCAGTTATGTATGCACTCATGCTTTCATGTGTAGATATGTGCACACATGTAAACACACAGGCATCCATGCTTACAGCCATGCATGTGTACTCACCAACATGTACATGTGCAGGCTTGTACATAGCCACACATACATTCACACAGGCTCGCACACATGTACACAGTCTTACATACAGCCACACACATGCACATGACCCCACAGCAGCCCAGCCACGTGCTGCATCAGAGCAAGAATGTGTCTGCTTAGCCAAATGAAATCACACCATTCTCCCTGCCTTTGTCCCTCAAGCGCATGCCTAGCACAGAAAATCAAGGTCCTCTGCTAGGACCCCCAGCACCAACAGTGTCAGGGTGCCTGTGCCCCAGCTGCACAGAGACACCCACGATGCCCATCCACCCTAATAATGGGGCCTCAGTGCAGCATGTCCGACTCCTGAAAACCTGGGGCCCATGGGGGTGGGCAACCACAGTCACCCCCCTTTGCACTCACCGAATGCAATGCGGGAGACAGAGTTCCCATAAGGACCAGGTGGGAGGGAGGTGGCTACTTGCTGGCCAGCTGGGAAGGTCTTGGAATGTGAGGGGAGTCGCCTCAGGGGCTCCTGGGTCCAGCACCTCAGCAGGGGTGTGCAGAGGTCCTGGGAGGAGGTGAGGTGGGGCACAGAGAGCCCAGGAGGAAGCTGTGTGTCTCTTGCTCCAGCCCTCCCAGCCGTCACACCTTCTGTCTTGAAAAGCCTGTTTGTCCAAAAGCACGGGGTAAGCCTCCGCATCGCAGGGCCAGGCCCAGAGGCATGCAGAGTGGGCCAGGTGCTAAGGGTGGGTGGGCACCCTTGGGTGGAGGGGCCCGAGGTGAACTGCTTGCCCATGACCAGTGGACCGTCCCAGGGCCCCCATGAACCTCCCATCTAACCAACAAATAGAGGACTCAGGGCAGAGAAGCCTGGATCAGTGCCGGAAGGACAAGGAGCATTTGAGAGGCCCCATTCTGGACCTCATAAGACCACCTGTGTGGGTGAGGAGCAAGGAGAAGGCATCATGGAGAGGACAAGTTCATCCTCCTGGCCACAGTGAACCCAGATCCCGGCCCTGGAAGGGCTCACCTCTAGGACACCACCCTCTGATGGCAGGGAGGGAGGGAGGGAGACTGGAAGGGCAGACCAGGGGCTTCCACGCAGCTCCTAGAAGCTGGACGTACTGCGTGAGTGTGTGTACGTACATGTGTGGCTGCGTGAGTATGCATGCATGTGACAGTGTGTATCATGTGAGTATATCGTGAGACTGTATGTAGTATATATGGTTTAAAATTAAGAAAGGTGGGCGACAGGGTTGTATTCTTTCACCATACTTATTCAACCCGTATGCTGAGCAAATAATCCGAGAAGCTGGGTTCTATGAAGAAAAACATGGCATCAGGATTGGAGAAAGACTCATTAACAACCTGTGATATGCAGATGATGCAACCTTGATCGCTGAAAGTGAAGAGGACTTAAAACATTTACTGATGAAGATCAAAGAGCACAGCCTTCAGTATGGATTACATCTCAAGGTAAAGAAAACAAAAATCCTCACCACTGGACCAATAAACAACATTCATATCAACGGATAAAGATTGAAGTTGTCAAGGACTTCATTCTTCTTGGATCAACTATCAACACTCACGGAAGCAGCAGTCAAGAAATCAAATGACGTATTGCATTAGGCAAATCTGCTGCACGAGACCTTTTCAAAGTGTTGAAGAGCAAAGATGTCAGCTTGAGGACTAAGGTGCGCCTGACCCAAGTCATGGTGTTTTCAATAACATATGCATGCGAAAACTGGACAATGAATAAGGAAGATCGTAGAAGAATTGATGCATTTGAGTTATGGTGTTGGAGGAGAATACTGAAAGTGCATGGGTTGCCAAAAGAACCAACAGATCGGTGTTGGAAGAAGTACAGCCAAAGTGCTCCTTGGAGGCCAGGATGGCCAGACTTCATCTCTCATACTTTGGACATATTATCAGGAGGGACCAGTCTCTGGAGAAGAAGGATATCATGTTTGGTAAGGTGGAGGGTCAGAGAAAAAGAGGAAGACCCCCAACAAGATGGACTGGCCAAGTGGCAGCATCAATGGACTTAAGCGTGGCAACAGTAGTGAGGTTGGCCCAGGATCGGGCAGGGTTTAATTCTACTGTTCATAGGTCGCTATGAGTTGGTACTGACTCGATGGCATCTATCAACAACAATGTAGTATGTATGACTGTACATATGTGTAGTGTGTGTGTGTGGCTGTGTGTAGTGTGTTTGAGAGAGTACTTGTGTGATTGTGTATGTATGTGACTAAAGTGGGAGTATGTGTGTGACTACATTGTTTACGTGTGTATATAGTGAGTATAGCATGTGTACTTATGTAATTATGCATGTATAGTGTGTGTCAATACAGTGAATTGTACATGTGTATATAGTGAGTGTATAGCATGCATACATGTGTGATTATACACATAGTGTGTGGCTATACAGTGAATGTGTGTGTATAGTAAATATATTGTGTGAGTATACATGTGATTATACATGTATAGTATATGTATGTAATTATGCAGTGAAATGTACATGTGCATACAGTGAGTGTCTAAGGAGCTCTGGTAGCGTAGTGGTTACAAATCGGGCTGCTAATCTCATGGTCAGCAGTTCGAAACTACCAGCTGTTCTGTGGCAGAAAGATGAGGCTTTCTGCTCCCGTAAAGACTTACAGTCTCGGAAACCCTGTACAGGGTTGCTGTGAGTCAGAACGGACTCCCCAGCACATAACAACATACAGTGAGTGTCTAGTGTGTATACATATGTGATTATACATGTATAGTGTGGGTGTGTATTCAACTGTATAGGGTGAGCCACGTGTGAGACCTATATGTGGGTGTGAGTATATGTGTGTGTGTACATGCAGGTGGCTAAGTGTACACTGTGTACATATGTGATTGTGTCTATAGTGGTAGTACAGTGAGTGTGTACACATGACTGTGTAGTGTGTGTGCATGTGTACAGTGAGTGTGTACCACAGTGTGTAAGATGAAGAATAGTAGGTGGTTTTCGTGCTGGAGTGGGATGAGCACACACACACACAGGATAGAGTGTGTTTGTCTGAAGTGGACAGTTCCATCTTTGACCCCATTGCCCAGGGTCTGCAGGGCCGTAGGGGGTACCTAGAGAAGGCCAGGGTCCATGTGCTACAGGAGAAGTGAGAGGAACATGTGGGCTCCGAGAAGCACCCCTGGGATCGTATCCCTGAGTCCTCTCGGGAACACGTGTAGTGACAGCAGGTTTTCCGTCTGCCATGTTGTAGGACAGTGGGAAGGGCCCAAGCAGAGGGAGGGAGACACGGGGACACACATCTGCAAGTCCTGCAGGGTCACCTGACAGCCACCCTGTCCCACAGTGAAGCCGTCTGGGAGAACATGGCACGCATGTGTGTGAAGACCCAGAGGCTGGACGTGGCCCGCGTGTGCCTGGGGAACATGGGCCATGCTCGAGGAGCCCGTGCCCTGCGGGAGGCTGAGCATGAGCCTGAGCTGGAGGCCCGTGTGGCCATGCTGGCCCTGCAGCTGGGCATGCTGGTGAGTGGACGGGCTGATGGACACCACTACTAAAGAGGCAGAGGGTATGACCGGTGGGCCCCATGGGAATCAAGGACGTTTTAGAGATCAGTCTGCGAGCCGTCTCTGTCTTTTATCTGCAGACACTTGGGCTCATGGCCCTGGCTGTGCCCGCTCTCTCCCTGCATCCCTGCCTGCCCTCATCTTTGTCCACCCTGACCCCTACCTGTTCTTGCCCTACACCGTGTCTGGCCATGTGGTCTCTGATGCTGACCCTGTGCTCGGCAGGAGGACGCTGAGCGGCTATATAAGAAGTGCAGACGCTATGACCTCCTGAACAAGTTCTACCAGGCCGCAGGCCAGTGGCAGAAGGCTGTGGAGGTTGCCGAGCAGCATGACCGCGTCCACCTGCGCACCACCTACTACAACTACGCCAAATACCTGGAGGCCAGCTCCGACTGCAACCTGGCCCTTAGCTAGTGAGCACCAGACCACAGGAGAGGGAGGTGTGGGGGCTGGGGGCACTGCGTAGGGCCACTCAGCCTAATGTCCTGTGTTCCCACTTGGGGGTGTGATGCCTTTGGGAGCACTAGAAGCCTGTCAGCCCCTGCGGGCACACTGGGGACTGGACTCAAGGAGAGGGGTGCCAGTGTCCTCCGGCGGTACTCCCTCGGAGCTCCAACCCCACCTCCCCCTACACGGGGCTTGGCTCACTCAGATCCCCGGATGTGGGGTGCCTGTGAAGAACACAGAGAGGTGGACACCATAGGGACCCCGGACCTGGCGGGCCACCACTCAGTCATGGCCTGGATGTGACCCTGTTACAGCTGCTCTCTGTGTTCCCCCCTAATGCCTCTCCAGCTATGAGAAGTCCGATACCCATCGCTTTGAGGTGCCCCGGATGCTAGCCGAGGACCTGCACGCCCTGGAACTCTACATCAACAGGATGCGGGACAAGTGGGCATGGGGCTAGGAGGAGGGGCGGGGGAGGGAGGGCAGTGGGATGCAGGAAAGTGAGTTGGGCCTGGGACAAGGGAAGTTGTTGCTGGAGATGGACGGGTCAGTAAGGTGGAGGGAGAAGTAGACTGGACCTGCGGTGGGGTGGGGTGGTCCTGGGGGGCTGTGGCTCAAGGCACCTGCTTGGGCTCCCAGGACCCTGTGGCGGTGGTGGGCACAGTACCTGGAGAGCCAGGCGGAAATGGAAACGGCGCTGCGCTACTATGAGCTGGCTCAGGATTACTTCTCGCTGGTTCGCATCCACTGCTTCCAGGGCAACATCCAGAAGGTGAGCATTTCCGGGAGAAGGAGGGAAGGCTGGCGGAGCGGAGCGGGATTGTTTCCGGGGAGAGCAGGCAGAGCCGGATCTCTGGGGGAGACCAGCTGGGTGCCTGTCTCCCCAGGCCGCAGAGATCGCCAACGAGACGGGAAACTGGCCGGCTTCCTACCACTTGGCACGGCAGTACGAGAGCCAGGACGAAGTGCGGCAGGCTGTACATTTCTACACGCGGGCACAGGCCTTCAACAATGCCATCCGCCTCTGCAAGGTGGGCCCCAGGCACGCCCCCAGAACTGGCTCCCCGCAGCCCCGCTTCCAGCCCCACCCCACCCCAGTCCAAGTTGTGAAGAGGCTTGTCCATGCGCCCATCCCCGGGGTCTCCCTCCTCCTTATATGCTCCAGCTTCAGGTGGCCCTAGGCAGCCCTTGGCTTGTAGCTGCACTGCCCACTCTGCGGCCATCTTCAGCAGACCTCATTCCCTCTGTGTGTGGTCCTCACACTGGGTGACCATGTGTTAGGTTAAAACCTCCACCATGGGCCAAGCTTTCAACACGTTTCTGGGAGCAACATGTCAGTCCATCACAGGACCATCAAAATACTGCAGCCCCGGCCTCAGTTCTGGAAATCTCCCTTGTGTGAGGCAGTCCCGGTGGCATGCTCCCCACTCTGAGAGCTCTGCCCCCCTGTCCCCCCAGGAGAATGGCCTGGATGACCAGCTCATGAACCTGGCCCTCCTGAGCTCCCCTGAGGACATGATCGAGGCAGCTCGCTACTATGAGGAGAAGGGGACGCAGATGGACCGGGCAGTCATGCTTTACCATAAGGTGGGCACCTGTGGAGGACACCCCCGCTTGGGAGGGTGGGAAGGGTCAAGCACATATGGACAGTGACCAGCAGATGGTGTTCAGACCTGGCTGCCCCCACAGGCCGGCCACTTCTCCAAGGCCCTGGAGTTGGCCTTCGCCACCCAGCAGTTTGGGGCCCTGCAGCTGATCGCAGAGGACCTTGACGAGAAGTCAGACCCGGCGCTGCTGGCCCGTTGCTCCGACTTCTTCATTGAGCACGGCCAATACGAGAAGGCCGTGGAGCTGTTGCTGGCTGCCAAGAAGGTGCCACACGGCAACAAGCGTGGTATTCTGTGTGCCGGGCTTCCCCCCACCCCCCATCCCTGCCTGCCAAGTCCCCCTCCTCATTGTATTCCTGCTTCTGTAGTGGGCGGGCTCCTCACAGCCTTCCATGGTGGTCCCCACAGTACCATGAGGCCTTGCAGCTTTGCCTGGAGCAGAGCATGACCATCACGGAGGAGATGGCTGAGAAGATGACCGTGTCCAAAGACTCCAAGGAGCTGTCGGAGGAGGAACGGCGGGAGCTGCTGGAGAAGATCGCCAACTGCTGCATGCGCCAGGGCGACTACCACCTGGCCACCAAGAAGTTCACACAGGCCGGCAGCAAGCTGCAGGTGGACACTCCGAGAGGGCAGGGGCAAGCTGCAGGGAGCGCTCTAGGGTGGCAGGGGCAAGCTGAAGGTGGGCGCTCTGGGGGGGGCAGGGGCAAGCTGCAGGGAGCGCT